GTTTGTAAGTGGGGTGAGGCGGAGGGACGCCGGGTTGAGGAAGAAGTCGGACTCCACTCTCGGTATGGGGGAGAGGATGGGGGGGAGCTAGGGCGAGAGACAGAGAATGAGGGAGTGGAGGTGCGCGTTGCGCAAGCTGGACAACCGACAGCCTTCATGACTTGGCATGCTTAGTGAAGGGCAAACGACCTGCCCGTTCCTCGTGCCCTGCCGTGATCGACGTAATAAGAATGGAACGGAAACGAACAAAACGACTGACGGGAGATAGGGGAAGGGGGATAGAGAGACAGACAAACTCTCTTTAAATATGCGGGAAAAGAGAATAATCTCATTCTCGTTTAGGACTTGCCGGAGGAGGCGGGGTTTATGGAAGTGATGAGAAGTAATTAACAGAAGACGGTCAAGAAGATGAGTCCCGAATACGCTCTGCGTGGGAATCTTATGAAACGTTAGCCAAACTTCTGAAATGCATCTGCGATAAGGGAGGTATACTAAAGAGACAATTTAATAAGAATCGTTTATTTCGACCACACCAGGATGCCTACTTTCGTACGCGCTTGTTTTCGGCGGCTCTTAAAAACCTTACTCGATAAAAGTAGCTACTTAAGTAGTACGAATTCCGATTTCATTGCTTTTTGATTTCCTAGTATATTCAGATATAATTTACGGGGAGCATGCACGTTTTCTTCAAATTTTACAGTCGAAGAAAGGGTATCTTTCGGTTTTAAGAAAGTTGTTAAAATTCCCTAGTCATTTTGAACTCGATCAATCGACAAATTTGAATTTAGGGTTTCCTCTCTGTAAACAACATAGTTTCAATGTAAGAAAATTAATCAATTTCCCGGTGTCATTAGAAAGACATCATGGATGAGAACCGTGTTGCATATCCTATGCGATGCATTAATAAGCGGACAAAGACGGTTTCCTTTGAATGGATGCTTCACAATCTTAAAACATCCACGATTATAAACTCTTTCAAAACCGTAAGGCATCTCCTCGTCAAATTTATAATGAGACATCGACGTGTTCTTCTTCAAAATGAGTGCAGAACAGAACACTTTTTGTGCAAGTTTTCCACAAAAATACAGTGAGTGACCTATCTCATGAAATGTTGGCTGAAATTCTGAAATGCGTTTTCGATTAGAAAAGATTACTTGGTCGCGGTTGTAATACTGATTATCGTAAGACATACCCTTATAGCATTTCGAACTTGGCAGGATGTCGGCTTTTAAATAAATTTCTTTTCAATCTCCTGTAGTAAGGGTGCTTGGTACAAAATGACTACTAAAGTAGCATACATTTTTCCCACTAATTTTCGATGGTCTTCGAAATTCAAATATACTTTATACAAACCATGAACAAAAATATGCTTTCTTTTAATCGATCAATAGAAAATCACGTCTTCTTTATATTTTATACTTAGGGAAGGAATATAATAAGGTTTTAAAAAAGTTTCTAATTATGAGACTTTTTAAAACCGTGAAATACCCATTCACACAGCATCGTACCTGGCCGTTTACCACTGCTCCTCATGAAATGTAAAACATGGTCCGCATCCATTGCGAAATTTCATGGACTCTGTATGATATCTCTTTAATAGCACAGAAAAATATATGATTTTCTTTACGCGGAACGCAGGCACCTTGAAGAATGAAATCACTAAGCGCTAATGCAACGAATGATCAGGCTCCAAATTATTCGGCAATTAGAAAACTTTTTAAAAACCTAATTATATTCCTTTCTTAAGTATAAAATATAAAGAAAACGCGTTTTTCTATTGATTGACTAATAGAAAGCATATTTTTGTTCATGGTTTCTATAAAATATATTTGAATTTCCAAGACCATCGAAAAGCAGTGGGAAAAATGCATGCTACATTAGTAGTCATTTTTTACCGAACACGCTTACTTCAGGAGATTGAAAACAAGTCTATTTAAAAGCCGACATCCTGCCAAGTTTGAAATGTTATAAGAGTATGTCTTACGATAATCAGT